AGGATCTGTCAAGTGCTGTGATGGTGGCTGTGTGGTGACAGCCAGACACAGTCAGTGACTACATGCTTCTCTTTCCAGATGAGAGCACTCTGCTGTCGCTCCAAGCCCCAGTTTGCTCTGTGGTGTTCTCAGCGCTGACGGATCCCAGTGTGCAGCTGCAGCTGGTTGGGATCAAGGCACTGACTGTCCTGGGCTCCCTGCAAGGTTGGTACCTTGTTTCCCTTGAGGAGACGGAGGGAGGTGTCACTCTTCTGAGAGACACAGCTGCTGGGGCATCTTTGCCTGCTGCCTGTAGGTGCACAGGAATAGTGGCAGCCTTTCCTACCCAAGCCATGAGCTCCAGGGACAGTTGGTCTCTCTCTTGCCTGTTCGTGCTGGGCACCTTGTATTTCTGGCATTTGGTGTGCTGCTGCATTGCTGTTGGCCTGGATGAGGGGGAAGGATCCTGTCCACACCACCATCTTTGCCTCTGGCCAAGGGTACAATTTCCCTATGGATCTTGTTCCAGGCTTCCTGTCTTCCTCTGACCTGGAGCTGGTTGTGGATCATCTCATCCGTCTCATTCTGCATGAGGATTCTCAGAGCAGGTGAGATTCTCAGAGAAGGTGAGGGGTGGGCTGGCATCACTGCAGTCGCCCACACTTTGGGAGAAGCAAAGCCTGGCTTTGCTGCAGAGAGGGGCTGTAGATTTAGAGAAGGCACAGGAGCTCTCTGAACCAGAAGGCTATGTGGGATAAACCAGAACATTCATGGGCTGGAAATTGGAGAGTCTGAGCCTATCAAAGCTGAGGCTCTGCTCTGCCTCCCTGAAGAGTGGAAAAGGCAAGCTGCTGAGAAGTGGGGTTCTGGAGACACCTTCTGGCAGGTTTGTGCAGCTGCTGTACAAGCAGCCCTGGATTTGCAGTCTTGAATCACCTTTTCACTCTCTTTCCCCCTGGCAGTGAAGCAGCAATGGAGGCAGCTGGATCCCTGGCTCCCACCTACCCAAAGGTTTTCTCTGGTCGCATGGTACCCAGGCTTGAAGAGGAGTTGCAGTCAGGTAGGGCTGGGAAAGGAGTGGTGGCTGGTTTTGGGGTAAGGCCTTTCCCATCCCCATTAGGCTCCTGCCAGGCAGGGGGGCTGTGCCACGTGGTGTAGGGGGTGGCTGTCCTTGGGGGACTCCCAGCACAGGCATTGTCTGCTGGCACAGGGGAGGCTGGTCTGGTAGCCAGCCTGTGTGTAGCCAGGATCACCCTTGTGGGAAGGAGCTGTCCAGCTGCACAGCAGGCAGAGTGCCTCGAGCCTGGCATGGGCTGGGTCTGCTGTGCTGCTTCACCCCATCCACTCTGGCAGGGTCTGGGCCCTGGGTGGGTGATCCCAGGTCCCCCTCTGAGGTGTGTTTCCTCTTCAGAGCGGGAGGAGAGCTTTGACAACCAACGCTCCTTTCGGCAGCGCTGCCTGCAGGCCCTGGCAGCTGTGTCCACCCACACCAGCATCGTGAGGGAGACTGTCCCTGTCCTGCTGCAGCATCTCCAGAAGGTGCAGAAAGGTAATGGATCTGCTGCAGGCAGCTCCACAGAGCATGTCTGGGAAGGAGCTGCCTCTTACTGGTAATGGCTGGGAGAGAGCCGGAATGGCAGTGGAGCCCACACCTGGACTGTGAATGTCACTGGTGGAGTGGGAGTCAGAAGAGCTGCATTGTCCCAGGATCCTGGTGCAGATCAGGGGGCTGGGTGCTGAGGCTGTTTGATATGATGGTGACTGTGCCCTACAGGGACCGAGACCCGGAATACCCAAGACATGGTCTCTGTGTGCCAGAGTCTGCACCGCGTGGCCCTGCGGTGCCAACAGGATGTGGAGGGCTGCTGGTACTTCCATCAGACAGTGGTGCCATGCCTGCTGGCCATGGCTGTGCAGGCAGCCATGCAAGGTAAGTGCAGGGCTAGAGTGGGAGAAGGGAGAGCAGGCAATTCCCAGGCTCTCAGGGGTCCCTGATTCTGCAGTTAGTCCTGCTGCTGATGCCTTCTGGCACCCATGGCCCTCCAACTCTGGGCTCCACTGGTCCCTGCCACTGTCCCAGAGCCCTGCCCCAGTCTGGTGTGGGTTCAGGGGGCTGTGCCTTCCTCCTGCATCTAAGCAGCAGGCTCTAGCAAGTTCCATTCCTCCCACCACCTGCAGAGAGCACCCAGACACTGCCAGGCAGAACACTGCTGGAAGAAGAGGTGCTGGCTGCCATGATCCCGGTCATCAGTGCTGCTACCACTCATCTGAGCCCTGAGTGAGTGATGCTGGGGCAGGAAGCTGGGTGCTCCATTGTGGGGAGAGAGCAGGCTGCATGCCCCCTTCCTGCCATCTGTACAGGGTCACCATGTGCCTCCTGGGAGGTCTCTGGTGACCCTTTTAGAGCAGCACATTACAATGTCTCCTCTCCTAGGCTGGCTGCCCAGAGTGTGTCTCATGTGGTGCCCCTCTTTCTGGATGGAGAGGTCTCCTTCCTACCCCAAAACAGTTTTCCCTGCTCCTTCCAGCCTTTTGGGGTAGGTTTGGTGATTGGGGCTGGGGCACYAGAATGGGCAGGGAATGAGGATGGTGGCACAAGCTGGCAGCAAGGACTGTGATGACATAGGCACTGTTTTACCTTGCAGGATGGGGAGTGCTTGGAGGCACAGAGACGCCTGGTCGCCCTCCTTATGGCCTTTGTCTGCTCCTTGCCCCGCAATGTATGTTGGTGTGCAGCAGGGTAGAGAGGAGCCCTGCCTGAGTACCCTCCAGCCTCTGTCCATGCCAAGCTCCACGACAGCGGGAGCTGCTGCAGCCCTGGGCCCTAACACGTTGTGTGTCTGTTCCAGGTGGCAATCCCTCAGCAGGAATGGTTGCTCCGGGAGCTGCTAGCATTGAGCTGTTCCTGCAACTGTCCCTTCACCGCCACCACAGCTGCCAAGTGCTTTGCAGGGCTGGTGAACAAGCACCCAGCAGGTAAGGGGGCTGGGGCAGATGCCGGGGGTCCCTGCCCACTGCTGGCAGGGGGAGTGGCTCAACTTGTCCCTTCCATCCCCAGGGCAGCAGCTGGATGAGATCCTGCAGCTTGCAGTGAATAGGATGGAGCCCGGCCTTGCGGAGGGGCCCCACCGAATGCAGGCGCTCACCTTGCTGCTCTGGGTAAGGTCTGCCCTGGATGAGAGGGGCAGGGGGTTAGGGGACCCAGCCTGGCACCAACTGTTATGCCTGCACAGGTGACCAAAGCCCTGGTGCTGCGCTACCACCCCTTGAGCTCCTGCCTGACAGACAAGGTAGGTGGTGGTGGGGCTGGGTGATGTCTGAGAAACCTGCCTTGCTCCTCGCTGGCTGGCAGGGGGACCCCCGCAGCAGGACACTGTCTCAGGGCTCTCTCCCTCACAGCTACTGGGTCTGCTGAGTGACACGGAGCTGGGCCCTGCCGCAGCTGATGGCTTCTCCCTGCTCATGGCCGAGTCCCCAGACGTGCTGCACAAAGGCTGCCATGCTGACGTGCGCATCATGTTCCGCCAGCGCTTCTTCACTGACAAYGTCCCCAAGCTGGTGCAAGGCTTCCATGGGGCTGGCCCCGGTGAGTGGCCACCTCCTGCCCAGCCTCACCACTCCTGACTCCTTAACCAGGGGACCTGAGCTGGGATCCCCGCCTTCCCCTGGCTGCTTGTAACCGTCTCTGCGCTTCACAGATGTGAAGGCCAACTACCTGAAGGGCCTGTCCCATGTGCTCAACCACCTCCCCAAACCGGTGCTGGTGACAGAGCTGCCCACGGTAAGAGCCAGCCTGGGCAGCAGGCAGGGTGAGCTGTAACACCGCAGAGTGCATGGTTTCAGGGTTACTCATGACTCCTGTGTTCTCCCTTCCTCTGCAGCTGCTTTCCCTCCTGCTTGAAGCCTTGTCCTGCTCAGATCGTGTAGTACAGCTCTCCACACTGAGCTGCCTCCACCCACTGCTGCTCGAAGCTCCCCAGATCATGAGCCTCCATGTCGACACACTGGTCACCAAGTTCCTCAACCTCACCTCCAGCCCCACCATGGTATGTGCACCCCTCCTTCCTTCCTGCTATGCCACTCTCACCCGCCCCTCGTGCTGCCCTCATCCCTGTCTGTTCCAGGCTGTTCGCATCGCCGCCTTGCGCTGTGCCCATGCACTCACCAATCTGCCCACAACAGTGGTAAGTGCTCCTGCAGCACCYTGCTGCCTGCTCCTGCATGTAACGGGCAAGGGGGTCCCAAACCTCCTGGGGGACATCCAGTTCTCTCATGAAGAGCCACTTCTGTCCTACAGCTGCTCCCATACAAGGGCCGAGTTATCCGGGCACTGGCCAAGCCTTTGGACGACAAGAAGAGGCTGGTGCGGAAGGAAGCAGTGGCAGCACGCGGTGAATGGTGCGTGGAAGTAGCTGCTGAGGGGGTGCCAGCACGTAGGAGATATGGCTGATGGCACYATCTCTGTCCCCGCAGGTTCCTGCTCGGGAGCCCAGGCAGGTGAGTTCCCTGCATCCCCTCCCTGTGCTGACCAACAGTCTGACCAGCGCCTCGCTAACCCGCCAAGTCATCTGACCGATGCCATGGACCCTCCGGATTCTCGGAGCTCAGGACTGCCCTGAGTGCCAGGGCTGGAGCGTGCAGGCCAGCAGACAGCACCCCTCACTGCAGTCCCTTCCCAGCACGCACAGCAGGGAAGAAGCTGTGCTGCTTGTGGCTTGCCCACCCTCTGCTGCAGCCAGGGACAGTGATGGACAGACCCACCACATGTGAGTGGAGAGGACAGGTCTGTGCACACGTGGAGTGTGTGACAAGCCATGTGCCAGAGGAATAAATATATATCTGTTTTGATAATGCTCTGAAGGTCTCCATGTAGCTCAGGCTGGATCCTCCGTGCTTTTCTGTATGTTGAGCAGCTTAAGATGCAGCTGGTTATAGGCCTTTCCTCCTCTTTTCACACTGTGGTCCCTTTCCTCCCATCCCCTGAAGTCCATGTCCCCCACAAGATAAAAAAACAGACTCCCTTAGAAAAAAAATTATTTAGTGGATGGTCTTAAAAAGACTCCCCGGGGAGCACTTAGGGGGATGGGGGTGCCATCCTCTGCGCCCAGCCCTTCAGAAAGCTGAGCTGGGCCAATGGTGGCCTGTACCTGTGCTAAGGAGAGCAGCACCTTCAGCTGGAGCAGGGAGCAGCAGCTCTGCCACCTTGCCCCTGGGCTGCCTGCAGCCACCAAGAACCGAGAGAGCAGCATCCTGGCACCAACACTGTCCACAGAGTTTCCCATGGCTCTGGCTCCAGTGAGCGATGTGTGCCAGCACCAACCTTCTGCCAGGCACTTTGGCCAAAGGGAGCTGCAGCGGAGGAGTGGGTCCAGCACTCTTGCCTGCAGGGAGGGATGTCCAGAGCCCAGGACCTCAGATTGCCAGGAGTGGTGCACGTTGCTCCATCACGCAGGGAGGCAGGTCCCAGCTCAGGCCTGTCCCATGGGGCAAGTGAGGAGAGGGCAGCAGGACACGGGTGAGCCAGTGCCTGTGGGGAGAGTGAGGACACAGGCACAAGATGAAGTCTTGATGTTTCTCAGCTTTCAGGTGCCAAGCTAGGGCTGTGAGCCATGTCCTGAGCTGCCATGATGGCTGAGCTCCTCAGCTGGGATTCTCCTGGAAAAGGTGTGCTGGGCAGGCCACACTTTGTCACCAGATAAGGCTCATGAGGCACAAGGCCAATGATGCCCAGGTCTTCCATGTCTTTCAAAGCCCAGTAAAGTGCAGAGTGTGGGATGGATGCCCACTGTCATCCTCTCCTCTCCCCCAGCAGCCCAAGGAGAGCTTGTTGTCCCAACCCCATAAACTGCTGAGCTACCACCTTTTCAGGCACGGGCTTCCCCAGGACTTTACCTTGGCATATCCACACCCAGGAACACCTTCCAGTTATCCCAGCTGCCATAACTGTAGGGGTTCCTGAAGACCTGCAGGACAGGGAAAGGCACATCACATGTGGCTCTGCCCCAGCCAGCCCCCATACTGCAGGCTGTGCTCACCTTGCCTTTCTTCTGCAGTCTCTGCCTCTCCTTTCTGTTGATGTGACGCTCAATGCTCGTTTCSCCACGGGTGATGAGCGCAGCATGCCACAGTGTGAGGGCACCCAGGGCCAGTGCAACTGAGCTAGGTATGACAAGGGACAGCAGGTGGAACACAGGCCTTCCTTCCCTGGTGCTGCAGCTGGCTGGGGCTGATGCTGCCTCCCCACACCCACAGCTGCCTAAGTGGGTCGGYTTGTCTGATCTCCTGTGACAGACACAATCTCTCCTTCTCTGTGGCCCAAAGGCTGGCACGGCAGCAATGTGTGCACTGGAGTGAGCGAGCCCAGCTACAGGCAGGTAGAAGGTGAGCAGAGTCTCAGGCTTCACTGTTTTCCCCAGCCCCTGGGCCCCCTCACCTGCAGAGGACCCAAAGGTAGACCACGCTCTTGTGGAAAGCTCGCTGGCGGAAGGAGAAGGTGGGTGGTGGCGTCTGGTARTATGTCTGAAAAAGGACAGATGGAGAGGATTACACAAAGTGCTTTACAGCTTGAAGACAGACAGGGATTGCTGCACCCCTCACTGCTGCAGAGCTTGGACAGCAAAAAAGGACTGCAGCTGGAACTAATGCAACAGCCAGGGTGAGGGGGAGGCAGCCTGGGACAGCCATGAAACAGACAGACAAACACCCAGAGCTGGCACAGGCGTGAGGAGCAATGGGCTGGAGGTAAGGAGGCAGGGAGCAGCCATGGGACTGGTCAGAACATTGCAGCTGAGGGTCAGGGTGAGATGTRTATGCAGTGCTGCAGCTTTACCAGGAGACCATGGCATGAGCAGCACATGCCAAGAAGCTGTCACTAGCCCAAGCCCCTGGAAGCTGGGTGCACAGAGGGGCAGACCCCAAGCTGCTGGAGGCAGTGTCCTAGCAGAGCTGCCTGGCCAGCCCCAGCTCTCTGATAAGAGATGAACAAGGGGGCTGGTTCTGATATGGGGTGCTCCCTAAGAGCAGAGYCCCAAGCTGGACCCAGCCTGCAGGGCAGCTCTGCTCCACACTGCCTGGAGCAGCTGGGGGGCAGGGATGTCCCACCTGGTTGGCAGCCACCTGCAGCCTCTCCTTCTCAAGCTGTTTCATTCTCTAGGGGGATGGAAAACAGGGTACCAGTTACGTGTCTCAGAGGAGTGGGGCAGGGACCCTTCCCCTCACACCCCCACAGAACTGGAGCAGCTGGGGGCCTCACAGGAGGAGGAAGAGGCAAAGCAAAGTCACTATACGGCTGGGCCTGGCCCAGCCTTGTTCTGCAAGCTCAGCCTGGAAGCCAGGCAGTCTTGGCGCACGGCAGGAGAGTGCCGGGCCTGCACACTCACCTCGATGGCTGTGTAGGCATCCCGGAACATTTCCCAGCCACTGATGCTGCAGTAGATGCAGCCCATGGTCATGAAGAGGCAGAAGGAGAAGAAGTAGCGGTGGTTGTAATGTCCCACACAGTTGTTTAGCCAGGCTGCCTCTGGGATTAAGGTACATAACTGACAGACCATGGGTCCAAACCCAATTCAGGGATCAGGGCGGTTCTTTTGGGCCCTGCACCCATCAGCCATCCCTGTGTGGCTGTCTCCTCAAGAAGAGGGGCTGGGAGAGAAGGGGGAAGCAGGACTGGCTCCCCCCAGGAGTGTGCCACCAGTTTGTACTGCAGAAGGATACGGCAGTGGTGGTCCATCTTCAGCACGCACCTGGAAGAGAGAGCAGTTCCAGTGTCAGAGCCAGCACAAGTGCTATGTTTGGGAGGGGACAGGCACCCCCAGCCCTGCACGCTGCAAGTGACAGGGCAAGCATCTGGCAGGGCAGAGAAGAGCCCCTGTCTCACAGTGGGGTAGGGGGTCAGGAGAGGGGTTTCCATGGGCTGGCCCAGGCAGAGGGAGGGTGTCCTACCTGTTGCAGATGCTACAGTGGTGGGTGCGAGCCGGCTTGGGGGCAATGCATTTCCTGCAGATGGACACRCCAGTGAGGTCGTTCTTGGCCTGTGCACGGGTCAGAAGAGATTTGTGCACCTTAAACCCTGCACCTCACACTCCTGCCAACCCCTATGACCCCTCCCCACCTCTGCACTGCCCAGGCTAGCTCCCCAGTCCAGAGRCTTCCTGCAACACCACCAGGCTGTCCCCAGTGTCCAGCTGGGAGAGGTTGTGCTGCCACTCGGTGCCTCACCTGTGGTGGGTGCCCAGGCGAGGTGGTGATGGCCATGTAGTAGTGGAAGACGATCATGATGAGGTTCCAGTGTCCATAGGCGAGGTGCCAGCATATCCAGGCAGGTGTGTAGGTCTGCAGGATGAGGGGCAGCAGGCAGATRTACACGATGGCCACAATAGAGCTCGTCAGCCCAATTACCAGTGCCACAAACACCTACAGGAAAAGGACCCGGGTCACTGGAATGGGCAGCGCCTGCCCCTCGCTGCCTGGGGAGAGGCATGGGCAGGACAAAGCCACAGGAAACCAATTTGAACCACACATGGAGGTCCCAGCTCACTGCTGCCCAGGCAGCCCTGAGCCCCAGTTGTCCCAGCAGCACACCTGCCACAGAACTGGGCGTACCCTGCCCAGTAAGGGGGACTCACCACACCAAACCACCGGGTGACATGGTCCACCAGCCAGTAGACAGGCTCGAAGAGGGAATCAAGCACCACGTCGCCGTTGGTAAAGGAGTTGTAGAGCAGGGAGCGGAGGCAGAGGTGCCCGTAGTACCAGAGCTGCTCCACCTGCCGCACCAGCTTGAATCGCCGCCGCCGGCCCAGCCGCAGGCACTTGAGGAGCAGGCGCATCACCGCAGCAAACATCCGCTGCCTGCTCCTCATCCCTGCCACACCACGCCTGGGGGGACAGGAGCTCGGCATGGGCAGGCCACCCTGCTGTCTGGCTGTCCCTTGGGAAGGGYTTCCCTTCCCTGACCTGCTGATGCTGGTAGTGCAGCTCCCTGAACTGACAAGGATGCCGAGCTGGAAGAGCCGAGGCCAGGCTCCTGGAGGCTGCAGAGCCACTGTCACCAGGATGTCTCTTTGCAYGGAGCAGGGGGCACAGGCCCCTCAGCATGTGGGCTCAGGTGCTCTCTGGTCCCATCTCATCTTTCCCAGCGGGGAGGGGGCCGGGGGAGTGACACAGAGTCTGACTCAAAAGAAACCAGAGAAGGCATGAGCATCCAGGATGCTAGGCCATTTCCAGGGATGATCSCAACCCTTCCCAACACATTCAGGAACAGGAGAATCCACACAAGAAACATGTGGAGGACCTGGTACACGATTACCTCTCTCTCCCTAGTCCCTCCTTAACCCTACAAAGTAGTATGCTACTTCCCTTCACCTCAACCTCTGGATGGAGAGGCCACCCTGTGCCCTTCCCAGCCTCACAGCCTCACTCCAAGAATCCCAACAGTTGCTCCTTCTCCTCGCCTGGATCCCTGAAAAATGCCACACACCAGCAAAAAGGGAAGCCCTGGGCTGATGCTCCCCTGCCTGTTGAGCCCCTTGTCCTGCCCAAGAGCTTTGCTGGGAGTGACAAGGAACTCGATCTGGCCCAGTAGATGGGAAAACGATCTGCAGGGCTGGGGCCCCTAGGCCTCTGTGCAGGCAGTACCCATCAATATTAAGCAGTGAGGCTGCCCCGGGGTCCTGCCAAGGCACGTTCTGAGCCTGGGCCAAGCACTTGTCTTGGTGCAGTGCCAGGCACTGGTGCCAGAGCTCAGAGTCCCTCCAGCAGAGATCTTTGCACTGCTGTGCCCACCAGCACGGCCCCTGGGGAGCAGCAGGGAGGGTGAGGGAAGAAGCTGCAGCATCCAGATGGACTGCCCAAAGAAGCCATGGCTCTCCTCCACCCTGCCTGAGGAATGTGGGGCTGACTCCAAGGTTGGGGTATGCTGGATATGAGGAGCMCAGACCCAGCAGCCCATTCCAGGTCACAGGCATAACTCCTGCCCAGACTTTCTGTACTCTGGTATGGGAGAGGTAGGATAGGCAAATCCCAGCATCACCCTCTTGTCCACTTTTCCGCTTTAGCCTGCCAAGAATTTTTCCTTAAAACTCAGCAGGTGCAAAGTGGAGCAACAACTTCCTGCTGTGCAGCCTTTGAGTAGCATCACATCCCTGTGATGTCAGTGTGGTAAAAGAYAAAATACTGCAGCCAGAAGCAGTTGAGGTCAGCCTTTCCTTCCAAAGACAAAGTACCTTCCTGCCCCCCAGAGAAGTTTCCTCACCTACAATGGAGGCAGCTCTTGGGCAGGGAACCCACAGGGAAGGCAGCCAGTCTGCTCCACAGCAAGACCCACTCTGTCCCCAGGCACCTGTCTGCAGACAGTAGCACAATCCAGGGACGAAGCTCCAGCAGAGCCACGCACCTTTCTCTTGCTCAKCCGGGCACTGGGATCCAGCCCTCACCCTGACCATGACTGTCACCACATCCCAGCGGGGCACTGAGCCCATGGGAACTGGACAGCAACAACCAGCTCAGCCAGGACCACTGGCGACACCACAGCGGAGGGATGGGGAACCTTGGATTTAGCTCCACCCCGGGCACAGACGAGCCCTTACCCTGCTGGGTCCAGGCGCCCAGGTGCAGCCCTATGGCACCCTCCGGTGGCTCCACACCGCCCGGCTTCACCGGTTCAGTAGCACCCAGCTCCACAGCGCCAAGACATTTTCAGCTATTTAGCCCCATCCTCAAAGGATGCCCATGCCAACAGCCCCACCACACCCAGCCCCATAACACCCGGGTTCCCTGCCCCGCATCACCCCTGCTCCTCCACAGCAGTAGCATTCCCCCACTGCCTCCCATCCCAAGTGCACTCCCAGGGCACTGCCTCCCGGGTCCGCACAAGCACATCCTGCCCCACAGCACCCGAGGCATCGCCCACAGCCTCCCGCCCCCGCGCTCCCCGCCCCAGAGCACCTCTGTGCAGCCGCCCAGACCCAAGAGCCCCACAGCATCTCGCAGGGCTCTGACATTCCCGCCTGGCACTGCCGACCTGGGCCCGGCGCCGCCGACCTGGGCCCACCGCCCGCCGCCTCCATGCCCGGGCCCCGCCGGCCCACGGGCAGCGCCCGCGCACAGCATGCCGGGAGCGACCTCTGCCGCAGCTCGACTACAACCCCCAGCAGGCAGCGCGCTCAGGCCTCGCACCGGGTAGGAAAGAACCAATAGCTGAGCCGCTTATATCGCGGCATTGCCGTCGAGGACCAATAGGATGGAGGCTTCCTGGGGATGCCTTGCCGGCAGCGAGCATGGCGCCTCCCGCACGCTATTGCATTCCTGGTGAGTACAGTCTGGGGCGGTCCGAGGCTTCTGGGGCTGCGGCTGCTACTGCCCAGAAAGGAATGCCGTGGCTCGAGAGAGGAGTACGGGACAAGGCAGTGCAGAAGGGCTTGCCCCGGCGATGCCCGCACTGGGCCGGTTGGGAATGAGCGCTGTGCCTGGAGCGGTGCGGGGCCCAGGTCCCCGGAGCGGGATGCCCCGGCAGCCCCTGAGCCTCTGTGTCGCAGGTGAGCGGCTGTGCAGCACGGAGGAGGCCACGGCTGGCAGCGGGACCTATATCCGTCATGGCTTCATCTTCTCCTCGCTGGCYGGCTGCCTGGAGAGGAAGAATGAGGACAGCGAGGTGAGCGGGGCCGCGGCGCAGCTGCTCCTCCCTGGGGCTGGCTGCCGTGCCCGCAGGCTGCACAGCTTGTCTGAGGATTGGGCTCCGACKGGGATCTGGGGTTCGACGGCGTTCAGCTGGTAACCCTCGTGTCTTGCCCTGCAGCTGCCCGTGGTGTCGGTGGTGAGAGACAGTGAGTCCCAGCTCCTCCCCAATGTGGGGGCCGTGGTGACATGCAAGGTGGGGTCCTGGAGCACTGCATTGACAAACTGCACACGCTTGACTCTCTGTCTCATGCTGAGCTTTGTTCCTGCATACAGATACGGTGGGGTGAGGAGTCCCTGGGCTTGTTAGTCCTCTCTGTACAAGTCCCATCAGGGCAGGGGCAGCCCAGGGGCTCCCTTGGGTCCCTCGCTCACAAAGGAAGTGGGTATTGGCATGAGGGACACCTGCCCTGCGACTGAGGTGGGCTTGAGGGGAGGTTTCTATTTGCTCTCCTTCCAGAACTCTTTCTGGGACAGGGAGCAGGTCAGTGCCTCAAGTAGCTTGGAGAAAGGGTGGCACAGACCAGGGATTAGTTTCCTTACATTCCTGATGGAGGGAGAGGGATTGGGATCACTGCAGTTCTCAGCCTTATTCTAGTGCCTCGAATTGCACAAGTATCATCTTCCTTGCCTGGTTTGCTGCCAGGTGTCTCCCCACTGCTTGGCCACAGGGATGAAGAGACCAAGTGAGACCTGAGCTCCTCATGCAGAGCAGTCCTGCCTGCTCCCTGCCCTTTCCCTGCCTGGAGCACTGATTCCCCTTTTCCTGTGTGCAGGTCTGCAGCATTAACTCTCGCTTTGCCAAGGTGCACATCCTGTATGTTGGCTCCACACCGCTGAAATCCACCTTCCGAGGGACCATTCGGTAGGGAGAAGGTTAGGATTCCCCACCCTTCAGGGGGGAGGGGGTTGTTGTGGGCAGTGCAGCTGGCTGCCCTGAGCTGCCCTGCTGAAGCTCTGCCCTGAGCACTGGGCTGGTGTCCAGCAGGTCCTGGCGARCACCCAGGAAGGCCAGGGCAGCCTCTGCCCCAGGCTGTTGAGTCGTCTTTACTCATTGGCACTCAGATCCCTCCATGTCCTTTTTCAGTAGAGAAGATATTCGAGCCACGGAGAAGGATAAGGTCAGTGAGGCACTGCCAGTGACTGTTCTACACCCACTGCCCCTGGTTTCTGCTCTTGGGAGCCCTGTCCCCTGCCACTAACAGCACCCTGGCACTGTGTGGTGTCGCCTGCTCTCTCTTGTGCAGGTAGAAGTGTACAAGAGCTTCCGCCCCAGTGACATCGTCTTGGCCAAAGTTGTATCCTTCCCCCTCAGGGACAGTGGGTTGGGTTGAGCACTCTTGTGGGAACCTCTTCCTTAACTCTTGTCTGACCAGATCTCCCTGGGGGATGCACAGTCCAACTACCTGCTGAGCACAGCAGAGAATGAGCTGGGCGTGGTGGTGGCACGCAGCGAGGCAGGTAAGGACAGGACAGTGACAGAGACAGGAGGGCCTAGGCTGAAACAGTTCTGCCTCATCCCTCCCTGAGGGGCAGCTGATGCAGCTGATGTTGTGTCCTCAGGGGTGCAGATGGTGCCCATCAGCTGGTGCGAGATGCAGTGCCCACGGACACACACCAAGGAGTTCCGTAAGGTGGCCCGGGTACAGCCCCAGTTCCTGCAGACGTAACAGCTGAGGGGGACAGGGWGCTGCAGGACTGAGCCCTGTGGAGCCAGAGCCTCCCAAGTCCAGCCAGGCCCCCACTGGCAGGACAGTTTTGCTACTTGTGGATAATAAATATTTTTTGAGAGCCCCATGCTTTGTTCATTACAGCCTACAGGCGAGCCAGGGCTGCTTGTGGCATTCTGGTCTGGCTCCTGCAGCAGAGCTGGTGAGGGAACAGTTTCCCCAGCACCAGGAGGAAGCACATGTTCCCAACTGTGGAAGGGGAGCGATTCAGTGGCTTTGTTGCAGTGAGGCTAAGGGCACAGAGCCCCAGGCTGTGGCTGTGCTGCTCTAGGCACTCGCCAGGGTTGGTTTTCCCACGTCCCAGTCAAGCCTGGAGCAGAGCCTGTCTCAGCACACTGATAACAAGTGTGGGCTGCAGCTGGGAACAGCCTGAGGACACCATATCTCATCTCCTTGGGCCACACGTGTCCTGCCCTATGGAGGAGGGTGTGGCACACACAGCACGGCAGGGTGTCGCCCTGTAGGGCAGGGATTGCGGAGCTGTGCTTTGCTCCTTGAGCCCGGCCCAACTTCTGCACCCTCATGTCTGTGCCCARCCGCAACTACTGCCTTATCCACACAGCCCAGAGACACACGGACACCTTCTTATTGCGCATTACTCCTTTATTGAACTGGAACAAGACAGCTGCTATGGTTGGACAGTTACACTGACCCTGTGCAAACCCAGGCTCACGACGCCAGCAGGCAGGGAGGGCACAGTGACAGGCCACGTACACACACGTGAGGGATGGGACACAACAGCACCTGCTTCACCAGCAGGATGAGGATGGACATCAGCTGGGGGAAGTATGTGGCAGACACGAACCTCCAGGCAACAGGCTCCCTCCCTTGCCTTTGTCTGAAGGCAATATACTTAAAGCAGGGGTTGGCAGAGCTGGGCCCAGAGTTGTGAGTACCACCCTGGGGTGGTGTACCACATGCACCAAAACACAACCCTTCCAGTGGCATCCCAGACACTGTGTCACGCACCCACGAGGCAATGGGGTACCCACCTTGGTCACTGCCTGCACTGCACTCACCTCACTGCTCCCAGGAGGACTAAATAAAGTGACAAAACTACAGTAACTGGGTGATGAGAACTGCTGGGGATGCAAAGCAGAGGAGCCTGGCATGGCAAGGGATTGCTTGGCGTGTCCCGCTGCAGACGGGGTCCGAGGGTTGRGATATCGGCCTGGAGAGGTGTGTAGTTGCTGCCTGGCAGAGCCAGTGCTCCCTTTCACACCACACCTCCAGGCACAGCCCTCACCCCAGGGCCCCCAGGCTGTCTGCAGAGGGAAGCCTAGTCGGAGGGAATGGGTCTAACCGTGGGGAGCGGCTCCAGCTCCACAGCTTCAAGTTCCTACACCTGTGGGGATGTGAACAGAGGGGTGGGGGATGGCAGGGGGCTCTACTATGTGCTGGCCTGCTGCCTGCCCTCACTTCTTGACCTTGCCCTGAGCAGCAACGGCCTCCATGGCCTTGCGCACCGTCTCCTCATCCCCCAGGAACTGCATGGGCTTKACGGGTTTCAGGTTCTTGTCCAACTCGTAGACAATGGGGATGCCGGTGGGCAGGTTCAGCTCCATGATGGCCTCTTCTGACATGCCTGTGAACACAGCAGTACCGTCACTCCTGGATCTTCCCACAGTGCCAGCTGGGGATGCAGGGAGATCCCTGAGATGCCCCTGCAGGGGTTACCTACCTTCTAGGTGCTTGACAATTCCACGCAGGCTATTGCCGTGGGCAGCAATAAGGACTCGTTTGCCCTCTTTGATCTGTGGGACGATTTCCTCATTCCAGAAAGGTAGAGCCCGGGCAATGGTGTCCTTCAAGCTCTCACATGTTGGCAGCTGATCCTCTGTCAGGTCAGCATAGCGGCGATCCTGGGAGAATGGTCATGCTTACACAGCAGCCCAGTGTCCCCCACCCAGTGTGGGAGGGACTGGGGACCTGAGGATCCACTGCATGTAAGTAAAGCCAGGCTTGGAATCAAGGAAGTGTCTTTGAGGTTTGAGATTGCAATAAGCCGCAGTCAATGCTGCAAGCCCTCCTGGGAAGTCATACATTGCCCGTTCCAGGCAAAGGAACCAGATAATTTATTTATGAATGGGTCACAAYGCTAATGATTAACAGAGGTATTGTCCCCTTTGCTTTGGATCTGTCTGTGCAATACCCAGGGGTTCAACCCCACAGGAAGGGAGCAAATTCTGCCCAAAACCAATCACACTGTACAGAACAGCCTCAGCTAACACAGCAGATACACAGGAGACCTTACAGAGGAAGCCAGGACACACTGCAGGTGACTTTTAAGAGACTCCCTGCAAGGCAGCCAAAGAGCAATGGGTCTTACCTTTGCGATGGTGCTGTAGAAGGGGTGGTCAGACTGCATAGGAGGTGGAGGGATGTCATAGGAGCGCCTCCAGATCTTCACCTGTGCCTCGCCATGCTTCGCTGCTGTTTCAGCCTTGTTCAAACCCGTGAGAGCCCCATAGTGCCTCTCATTTAGGCGCCAGGTCCGGATAACGGGTAACCACATCTGATCAATGGCATCCAGAACGGTCCAGAGAGTACGGATGGCCCGTTTTTGTACCGAGGTGAAGCAGATGTCGAACTCATAGCCGGCATCTAGAACAGACGATGAAAGGGGGAGGCGGGGGAAGACCAGGAAGGTGAGTGCCRGGCCTTATGCAACCGGTGAAAGGGCAAAGGCGACGGCCTCACCGTACCGGTCGCGTCCTCGCCCTTAGGGAAACCGCCAGCGGCCAGGATGCAACCGGTACCGGAGAACCGACATACTGCGGTACCTATGACCCTCCCGGCAGTACTAAACCCCCGACCTGGCACTGGAGGCCTCCCCCGTCACCGGAAAGCCCCAAAGCAAGCACCCGCTAGAGTCGGCGTGGACGCACTAGGCCGCATCCCTTCCCCCTTGTCCCCCGCGACCCCCCTCTTGGCCGAAATCCCCTCTCTCGTTCACCGGTACCTCGGAGGGCCTCGCCGCCGCGCCGCGCTTCTTGCTGCCCGGCAGGGCTAAGGTCGGCATCGTACCATCCGCTGAAGCGGTTCTCGAGGTTCCAGGCGCTCTCGCCGTGGCGGACGAGGACGAGCCGGTACGCAGCGGCCATGGCAGGCTGAGGGACCGGCGCGCGCTGCTCCTCACGCCGCTGCCGCGCGCAACTAACGCCCCCGCTCAGCCCCGCCCCGCCCCGCGCGCCGCCGCTGGGGGGACGCGCATGCGCCGAACGAGCGCCAGGCGGAGGCGCACGTAGCACATGGCGCGGCCGCGAAGGGCGGTGCGACCTTCAGGGCGTGGCGTCACCGTGACGTCACACAACGCCGTAATGCGTAACGCGTGACTCCGAGCCCGTGGCTCCGGGCTTAGTTTGAATGGTTCCACAGGGCCGCGGCTTCGGCATGGGGATGTCTGGCGGATACTTGCTCGCTGCTCCCCTGGGCCGTTCGTGTCTCCCATCTCAGCCCCCACTGGGCACGACCCCCCTGAACTTCCCCGACACCCCTTCTCGCCCGCCCGGCCGGGATGCGGCTTTCCCAGAGGGCTGCCCTCACTCAAGATGGCGGCTGGCGCCGGAAGCGGAAGGAGGGTACTCGGCGCGGCTGCACGTGGAGCCGGGTCCAACATGGCGCGGAGCGGGAGGCTCCGCTCGGGAGTCGCGGCTAAACTGAAGCGCTGGCGGAAGGGCCACAGCAGCGACTCCAACCCCGAGACCCGCCAGCATCGCCTGGCTGCCCGCAGTCGCTTCTGCAGCCGGCCCGCGGGTGAGGGCAGGGGCGGACGGGGCGGTAGGGCYCCAGGACGGGCAGGTCCTTACCTGTGCCTGGCTCTTCCCGGGAGGGTGCAGGGTCACGGGGGGCTGCGGGGCGAACCTTGGGGCCCTCCGAGAGCTGGGGCGGGGGCCGGAGGGAGAGCGGAGCCGCTGACAGTTCCGCAGGAGGTAGAGGCAGCAAACCAGGGAGGACAACCGAGGCCGCGGCTTAAAGAGTTATCCTCATAGTGACACCAGGCCTCAGAAGTGGAAGGGGGCACCGCAGGCTGCAGTGCCTGTCGCCCTGCGGGGCTCCCTAAAACCGATGGCCTCGCCTGTAAGTGCTGCTGTGTTATCCGCTGCGATGCGGGCCGTGGCATAYTCCCATTCATCCGGCCTCATGATGGGGAAGGCAAAACAAAGTGTGCCAAGCACTGCGAGAGCCCTGGCTGCTTCTGGCCAAGGTGATCTTTCTCCTGTAGATGCTGGCTGTGTGCTAGCGTCCAGGACTTAGAGGAACATGCAACATGTTTCCTGGCTGTCTGGTTGCCAGGGTTTCAGGTGGAAGAAGATAAATAGGGCAGTGCTAAGGCCTTAGCACACTGAGACACGTTAGTGTGGACGTGATACTCTCTTCCATCAGAGGAGATGGCTGGACTATGCTCAGTTTCTCTTCATGAGAATGAGAAACTCTTYGCAGTTCTTCCTGTGCTTTCTCCCATTGAAAAGAAGCAGCACCTGTATCCCACATGCTGGAGAAGARTTCCAGACAAGGCACTCTGGCAGGGAGGGGAGGGGAGCATTCGGGCTGAATGGTGGAGCAATGTGACTTCGCAGTTCTGACACATTCCTCACCCCACAGAGAAAAGTAATCTGACAGTGGATGCAGTGAAGCTGCACAATGAGCTGCAGTCAGGGTCCCTGCGTCTGGAGCGGGCAAGTGACAATGCTCAGTCCCGTATGGAGGAAGACAATGCTGAAGAGGCTGCCACAGAGAAGTCCTCTGGCACCTTCCTGAGCGGGCTGAGCGACTGCACCAACATCACCTTCAGCAAGGTGCAGCGCTTCTGGGAATCCAACTCTGCTGCTCACAAAGAGGTATGGTAGGAGCAGGGCTGGAGAAGGGGGTGTCTGCTGGGGATGGCCTCCCAAGTTGTGAGGCTGAGGTGCTGACCTGCTTTGCTGGCTGCTCACAGATCTGTGCCGTGCTGGCAGCTGTGACAGAGGTGATCCGCTCCCAGGGGGGCAAGGAGAGTGAGACGGAGTACTTTGCTGCACTGGTGAGTAGTGCTGTATGGAAGAAGTACAAGGGGAGCTGCTGCTGGCAGCATGGGTGGGTGCTCAGCAGGGATAGAGAAAGGTGCTGTGCTTGCAGCCAAGGCCCCAAGAGTTTTACTTCAGCAGAGATGCTGTTGGGCTGCTGCTGTTTTTTTTTCCCCCTCCTCAAGGGTTGGGGAAAGGTGTGAGCCCCTGCTTCTTATCACTTACTCATCTTCTGTTCTCAGATGACCACACTGGAGGCAGTGGAGTCCCCTGAGTCGCTGTCTGCTGTCGCCTACCTGCTTAACCTTGTCCTAAAGCGGTAAGTAGCTGGCAGAGGAGCTGGGAGAGCTGCTGGACCACATAATGAAAAAGGAATTGGTGCTGTCCTCCCTCCCCAGGCTGTGCAAAGGACCCAGCTGGGGTGAGGTRGTGATGCAGTCCCTTGTATAACTGCCACCAGCTCTCTGCCTCTCACCCCACTGACATGTCCCCTTCTTCTGGCAGGGTCCCAAGTCCTGTTCTTATTAAAAAGTTCTCAGATGCCTCAAAAGCCTTCATGAATATTGTGTCGTCACAAGCCTGCAGCAGCTCCACCTCTGCCCTGCGGTGGGTGAGTAGCCAAGAGGCAGCCAGCCATGTCAGCTCTGCCTGGGATCTGCTGAGTGCTGGGGTCAAGGCTTTTGCTGTAAGGTGATGCTGGGTGCTCAGATGGAGGATCTTGCAGTGAAAAGGAGATGTCTTTATGGGGTGATGCTAATGCCCTTGCTCCTCGCTTGTCATAGGTTCTCTCTTGCCTGGCCACACTGCTGCGGAAGCAAGACTTGGCAGCCTGGAGCTACCCCATCACCCTGCAGGTCTATCATGGCTTGCTGAGCTTTTGTGTTCATACCAAGCCCAAGGTGAGAGCCCARTRCTTCTRGCAGGAGATGCTGCTTTTGGAGTTTGTTTCTGGAGCTAGCTGTACCCCTAGGTCTATAGTTTCTACTCAGCTGGATTCTTCTTCCCCCAGGTGCGGAAAGCAGCGCAGTACGGCGTTTGCACTGTCCTGAGGGGCAGCGAGTTCATGTTTGGTGATGCAGCCCCTGAGCATCACCCTGCAGCACCCTCCACCGCCAAGTTCTGTGTGCAGGAGATTGAAAAAGCTGGAGGTATGGGGCACTGGAGGATAGGGTCTGTAGCTGAATGCGGGGGTCGCTGCCACTGTGGGAGAATAAGGACATGGAGGAAAGAGGGGACGTTGCAGCACATTTGTTTGCTGGGAAGTATGAAATATCTTTGGGGCACCTATGGTATTTTGAAGCTTCCTTAGGCATTCTGTTGCTCTCCTCTTCCCAAAAGTCAGAGGACTGTTCGCCCTGGTTCTGTGGCTCAGCCCCACCACTGTCACAGGGGCTTTGCTGCAGGAAGCCTCAGGCTCAGAGGTTTCTCTGCTCCYGTAGGTGCCAAGGAGGCCACCACCACCCTGCATGTCCTTGCCTTGCTGCGGGACGTGCTGCCCTGCTTCCCTGCATCTGCAGTGAAGACCTGCTGTGAGACCTTGCTCCGAGTCATGACCCTCAGCCACGTGGTAAGTGTTCCCACTCCAGAGACAGTGAGAGCAGACCCTKTCCTCATGGGCTAAACTATGGAAGGGATCAAATTCTCTCAGCTGCCAACTGGGAGCCTGGAAATGCAGGATGCAAATGGAAACAGCCCAGGACACCTTGCTGGTCTGACTGTTGTGGAAGAGGGAGGCTGTGCAGATGGGGCACAGTTGCAGCAGTGCTGGGATTTTCAAGTCAAAACCTTCTTTGGTGTAGTAGATGGGACAGTGGCTTCAAAGTAGAGCCCGCTTTCCTGACACAGTGTTCTTTGCAGCTGGTGACAGCGTGTGCTATGCAAGCTTTCCACAGCCTCTTCAGTGCCCAGGCCAGCGTGGCCTGCCTGCCAGCTGAGCTCAATGCCCAGATCATCACGGTGAGTGTGGGGTACCAGCATGGGGAGGGACAGAGGTGGCAGTGCCACAGCACCCACCCACCTACCCCACCTTCTGCTTGCACAGGCTCTCTAYGACTACGTCCCCAGTACGAGTGACCTGCAGCCACTGCTGACCTGGCTGTCCACCATGGAGCGGGCACACGTCAACCTGGGCAGGTGCAGACAGGGGCCACGGCTGGGCAAGGACASAGGCAGCTGCTTGGTCTCTCACTTGGCCTTTCTCTCCTTTCTAGGCTGCAGAAGGACCTGTGCTGGGCTCACCTGCCCCGGTTTTTCTCTGCTGCCATGAACTGCTTCCTCTCCCCACACTCCCAGGTGGTGTCAGCAGCAGCACAGACCCTGGAGGTACTGCACCCGGACACCTCTCCCTGCTTGGATGCCCTGGGCCTTGTGGGGAGCTCTGCCATGGGGTTTGGGGCTTGCCAGGGAGTGGTGTGCCCCTCTGCCTGCAAGGCTGAGGGTTCCATGGTCCAACAGCTATCCCATTTTCCCTGTTTGCCCTTGCAGACCCTCCTGAGCGAATGCATTGCTCCCCACATGGAGGACATGGGCACTGTCTCTGCATCTGCCCCAGCCCCTGCTGCCTACCTGTGCAAGATGTTCAGGTGAGGAGCAGTGATGTGTGAGGGGCTGTCCTCATGGGTCTGGCTGAGCTTTGACCAGCCTCTGCCCACTTCTCCATGGGGTCTGGCAGGCCTGGTGGGCACCCTGAATACTGCTGCTGTGACTGTCTCCTTTCTCCTCCGTAGATCAGTGGAGGAAGGGCTGACATACCGTTTCCAYGCAGCATGGGATGAGGTGCTGCGAGTGCTAGAGGTCTTCTTTGAGACATGTGGGAAGCAGTGCCATCSCATCATGAGGAAGGTGAGCAAGGCTGGAAGGGCACAGGGTCATCCATAGAGTCAGGGGCATGGCTGTGCTGCTGTCTGGGCTATGTTTCCCCTTCCAGCTGTGGTGCAGGGCCATGCTGTTTGCCCAGCTCTGTTGTCTGTGTGTGGCCAGAGCATGCACAGCTCTGGGGCTCGGCACAGGGACACACAGGGCAGCTGGCATCCCTGGGCAGGCAGAGTGAGTGATACATGCTACACCTGCCCACATGACTCTTTTTGACTGTCCTGCTCTGTCCCTGCAGTGTCTCCAGTCCTTGTGTGACCTGCGTCTTTCCCCACACTTTCCCTAYACTGCTGAAGTGGACCAGGCAGTGGGGGCTGCTGTGAGCACCATGGGTCCTGAGGTGCTGCTGGAAGCTGTGCCCCTGGAGATTGATGGCAAGGAGTGAGTACAGTCATGGAGTAGCAGCTTTGCAGCTGTTATATTCCTGTYCAGTCCCCATGTAGTGTTGCAGGTGTGGCTGCTAAGGCTACCTRTGCCCAGCTTTGGGGCTGGGTGAAAGTCTCCTGTGCCCGGGGGCTGATGCTGGCAGTGCCCCACACTCTCCTGACCTGTGCCTTTCCTCCCCAGGGAGACGCTGGATTTCCCCCGCAGCTGGCTCCTGCCAGTGCTGCGGGACAATGTGCAGGGTGCACGRCTTGGCTTCTTCACCAGTTACTTCTTGCCTTTGGCTGCTGCCCTGAAAAGCAGAGGTGAGGAGAGCAGCATATTGGGGGTCTCAGCAGTCCAGGATGTTCTGTGGGATCTCCCTTCTTTGCCCTGGGATGGAGCAGACCTTGGAGCACCTGCTGCTCTGCTCATCTTTTCTTTCTCTTCTGCAGCCCWGGAGTTTACCCAGGCTGGAAAGAGTGTGGAGGCCAAGATCTACGATACGCTGCAGTGGCAGGTAACAGGCAGTGCCTGGGAGCCCTGCCATGGTGTATCCGTCGTACCAGGCTGGGGAGCAGCGACTTGGGCAAAGACTGTGGCTTCCCACCTTTTKCTTTGCCTTCCAGGTCTGGACTCTGCTGCCTGGCTTCTGCACCCATCCCACAGACGTGCTGGGGGCCTTCAAGTGGTTGGCTCGCACCCTGGGCATGGCCATCAGTGAGCGCCCAGACCTCCGCCCCACCGTGTGCCAGGCCTTGCGCACCCTCATCCACAAAGGCTGCGAGACAGGTTGGGGGRGAAACAGACTCTTGGTGGGTCCTTGTCACCTGTGGGAGTGGAAATACTGATCTCTAGCCCTCTGTCATCCTCTCCCTAGATGAGGAGCGGGCAGAAGTGGGTCGCTTTGCCAAAAATTTCCTGCCCATCCTGTTCAACGTGTATAGCCAACCTGAGGAGGATGGGGGCACAAGTGCTCAGCGCCGCTCTGTACTGGACACTGTCCGTGCTTACCTGACTGTCACTGATTCTCAGGTGAGAGGCCTGTGGGGCAYTGGGGCAAGCTGTCCTGGCTCAGGCCAGCATCTCTCAGCCAGACCCAGTCTGATGGGGCTTTGGTGCATGCCTGATTGTAGTGGACAGGAAGAAAGGCTCAGACCAGAAAGCAGCCCTTCCTGCCATCATGGGCAAGGAGACCTTTCCAGCCCATGGTCTGGAATTTTCCAATCTTGCAGTCACATGTGGCCCATCATGCATGAGCTCTTTGTGAATTTGTCCAGGTGTTTTTGGACTCACTGGTGCTTCTGGTCTCCACAAAGTCCCGTGGCAAGCTGTTTGCCAGGTGGATTGTAAACTCCTTTAAAAGCACTCCCTTCAGTCAGTTCTAATCCTGCTCTCTSTGCCTGCCTTGCAGATGGTGTGCGGATTCCTGGAGAAAGCCAGTGAGAAGCTGACCAGTCCTGAGAGTTCTGAGTTCGCCAGGTAACACCTGGGGGCTGGTGCTAATGAGTAAAACTGGCATGCTCCTGGTGAGCAGCACTAGGGCACTGTCCTGTTTGGGCTGTGCCACCACTGAGCACTTGATGTGTCTCAGCTCGGTCAGAGAGGGGTGGTAATGCCACAGTTAACCAGGTAACATGTCCTTCTCTGCTGCAGACTCTCCATCCTGGACCTGGTAGTGGCAATGGCACCCTATGCTGATGAGCAGTCCCTGGGCTCCCTGTACCRTACCATCCAGCCTTCCCTCCAGGTTGGTCCCCAGCCCTGACAGGTGCAGGGGCTGAAGTGGGGCCCCTTTGGCTTGCTGCCAGCTTTAACCCACACTCTGGCGACTGAGCAACTGCCATAGGGGATAGGTGTCTGCTGGGGAATGTGAGGTGGTGGTGTCCCTTCAGACACCATGTGAGGGACTGCCTTGACAGCAGGAGCATGTTTGCTGTCCCTGCAGAGCAAAGAGCGCAGTATGCAGAAGAAGGCGTATCGTGTGCTGGAGGAGGTGTGTGCTGCTCCCCATGCTCCCTGCCAGGCCTTCGTCCGCTCCCACCTCCAGGACCTGCAAGCAGCACTGCTGGACTCACTCAAGAGTGCAGCATCCCCAGCTAAGAGGGTGAGAGCATGGGCTGTGGTGGTGATCAGCCACTGCTGGGAGGGAGGGGATGGGCAGCAGGGGTAACCAGGTGTGTGTYCCTGGGTATACCAGTGCTGGTCTGTTTCTTTCCCCAGCCCCGGCTGAAATGCCTGTTCCACATTGTGAAGCAGCTATCTGCAGAGCACGAGCCTTTTGTCACTGCCCTCGTCCCAGAGGTGAGCATAGTCCCTGGGAGGAACTGGCTGATTCTGGCTGTGGTGGTGACAGCAGTGGTGACATGCCTGTGTTGCCTCAGGTCATCCTATGCACCAAGGAGGTGTCAGTGGGGGCCCGCAAGAACGCCTTCATGCTGCTCGTGGAGATGGGGAATGCCTTCATCCGCTTTGGACCCACTCCTGAAGGTGAGCTTCTGTTCCACTYGCGCAGCCCCACAGTCAGTCTGGCCCCAGGGAGATCAGACCCCTGCCCAGCACCTGGCTGAAATGGTCCAGAGATGCTGCTGGATACAGAGTGAGTCAGGGCCTGGGTCATCCCCCTCTTGCAGAGGCCCTGCAGCGRTTCCTGCTCCTGATCTACGTGGGGCTCACTGGCTCAGTCACCATGATCAGCTGCACCGTGCTGGCACTGACCCGCCTGTTCTTTGAGTTCAAAGGTGAGCAGGAGCAGAAGGGCTGGTGGGTCGAGGCAGAGCCCTGCRGTGAAGGTGGGTGCTGGGAGGAAGCTGTCTGTGGCTAAGTCCCACTGTGGTTGCAGATCACCTGGAATTCAGTGTGGTGGAGCAGCTCCTGCAAAACATCTGCCTGTTGCTGGCCTCCCGCACACGGGATGTGGTCAAGGCAGCCCTGGGATTCCTGAAGGTCACACTGCTGCTGGTGGACACCAAACTCCTGGCCAAGCATGTCCAGACGATGGTGAGATGCACRGGGTGCCTTGAGGAGGTTGGTGGGGCAGAACTGTGGCTGCCTTGGGCAGCCAGGGACATCTCCAGCTGCACTGTGCCTGGGAGCCAAGGAAACAASCTTGATCTCAGTGGCTGAGATGGCAGCAGGGAGACCCCTCTCYTAAATCCTGGCACAGATATGCCAGAAAAGCCCCATGAACCAGCAYGGCCAAGCAGGGAGACCTCCCCACGGCCCTGCCTGGGGCAGGCATGGAGAGATGGCAGCAGAGTGAACAAGATAGCCATGCAGATAAAGGTTGGGAGGCTGGGTCCCCAGGCTAGGGGTGSTTTGGTCTTGAGGGTCTCTGTCCTGACAGCTGGAGGCTGTGGGGAACCTTTCAGATGACATGAGACGCCATTTCCGTATGAAGCTGCGAAACCTCTTCATCAAGTTCATCCGCAAGTTTGGGTAAGCTGCAGTCTCTTGGGGTGGTGAGGGAGCTCCCTGGGAAGCATTGTGAGAGAAGGTGGGTGCTGACTGCTCTCTGTGTGCTTCCTCAGCTTTGARCTGGTGAAGGGGCTGCTGCCAGCCGAGTACCATAAAGTGCTGGTGAACATCCGCAAGGCGGAATCCCGGAGCCGCAAGCAGCGTGCCCTGAAGCGGGCAGCTGCGGATGTGGATGAAGAGGAAGCACCACCWCCACAACCCAGAGGAGACAGGTGAAGATGGGCTTGGGGTGAAGAAGGAGCAGCCCCCACAGGGATCTGCTCAGCTGRTGCCTCTAGAGATGCTGGCGACATCTCCAGGGCTGCTATGCATTGTTCCATTGCCATCATCCTTTCCACCTCTTGATCAGTATGGAGGAGATCCTGGCTGACTCCGAGGATGAGGAGGAGGAAGAGGAGGAAAGGCAACGGAGCAAGGAGTGGAGGAAGCAAGCACGGCAGAAAGGCCAGGCATGGCTGAAGGAAGGGGAAGATGATGAGCCCCTCAACTTCCTTGACCCCAACGTGTCCCAACGGGTGCTGGGTAAGGAGTGGAGCTTCAGATGGTGCTGGGGTAGGACGGATGGGGCAGGGGCTGCTGTAATGCACAGGGGCCCTGGGGGGTACAGCTACCCCCAGAAGTGGCTCCTTCTCCCAGCCCTGACCCATCTCTCTTGGTGAGCAGCCACCAAGCCAGGCCCCAAGCGGTCCAGAGGAGTGAGCCATGATTTCCAGATGTCTGAGGACGGGCGCCTGATCATYCATGAAGAGGAAGAGGAGGTGGACGATGATGAAGCCAAAGGTACTGCCTGGAATGACAGGGGCCGCTCTAGACTTGCTTTGGGTCTCTCAATGGTTTTCATCCTGCCACCTGTACGTAGAATTTTGGGGGGTTGTGAGTGGAAGTGGCAGGAATTGGTATGGCCTTGTGCCATAATCAGTGGTTCTCTTCTGGGCTGCTGCTCAGGGGAAGCAGTCACCTACATCATCAAGGGGGTGCTGGTTCAGCAGGGACACCCTGCTACTGCAGGCCCCTCTAGGGGCTGGCACAATACCCRGGCTCTCTCATGCCCTCATCCTGCACCTTGTTCTGTACCACAGGAGCAGAYGAGGAGATGGCAGATGTGCTGCAAGATGTGGGTCTCCGCAGTGTGAGTATGGGGCTCGTGGTCCTGAGGAGATGCTGGGGGAACTTGTCCTTGCCAAACCACTCTCTGTGCCATGGCAGCTGCAGCTCTCCCCAAGAGGCCAGTAGGGACACCGGGCAAGTGTCAGCTGCTTGGAGGGCTGCAGGAAGTTGTCTGGGATAGGGATGTGCTGTCTGGAAGGTCTCTGGGTGCCCATGGAAGGAAGCAGGAGGTTGGGGTTCGATGGGAGGACAGAACTGTAAGGACAAGCCTTTTCCTGCAGAAGAAAAGTCAGAAGCGTCGGTTCAGAGAGGAGCCAGACGAGGAAGCCGAAGCCGGAACCTATTCTGAGTACAGAGGTAAGTCCTCTGCCTGTGCCCAGTGTGGGGCTCCCTGGAGGGCTGGAACCATGTACATGATTGCATGCAGATGGTTTTTGAATATCTCTGTTGTGGGAGACTCCAGAATGCCTCTCTAGGCAGTCTGTTACAATGCACAGTCACCCACACAGGAAAGTTCTTACGTGCAGGTGGAACTTCCCGTGCATCAGTTTCTGCCTTTGCCTCTTTTCCTATTGCCTGACAGCACCAACCAGAGCCTGGCTCCATCCTCTTGACACCCTCCCTTCAGATACTTACAGACATAAATGACCCCATTTAGGTGTCTCTTTTCCAGGCTGAACAGGCCCAGCTCTCTCAGCTTTTCCTGATAACAGAGATACTCCGGCCCCTGGACCAGCTCCATGAGCTCCTGTCTCTTGTACTGAGGAGCTCAAACACAACAGTTCTTCACTAGGGCTCAGTTAGAGGGGCAAGATCCCTTCCCTTGACCTGCTGGCACTGCTCTTCCTAATACACTCCAGGACACCATTGCCTCCTTGGCCACAAGGACACTGCTGGCTCATGAACAGCTTGTTGACCACCAGGACCCCCAGGTCCTTCTCCACAGAGTTTATTTCCAGCAGGTTGGCCACCAGTCTGAACTGGTGCCTGGGGTTGTTTCTTCCCAGGTGCAGGACTGTGCATTTGCCTTTGTTAATTTCAGACAGTTCTCTGCACTTCTCTTCAGAGATTTTGCTTATGGGAAATGGCCACCCCTCTGTTGTCCTGACACCCAGGAGCTGGAGGCAAAAACAGGAACAGATTCCACAGCCTAGAACTGGGMAGGGGGAGCCCTAAAACCCCTTCCAACACACATTTCTTTTCCAGCTGGTGGCTCTGGGATCCATCGGCAGCTGAACAAAAAGCCAGCCTTCGGTGCAGAGTACAGATCCAAGGTAAGGAACCCATGGGGTTGCAGGGTTTGGGTGGGGGGATGCGGGGGCAGGAAGCGCTATTTGTGTTGAGAATCTGGTCCAAGGCTGGAGAGGATCTCTGCTCCAAAAGGAGTTGCCAAACACTCAGTATCTCTGAACACTGCCAGCCCATTTCAAAGTTCCTGTCGTGCCCTTGCCATAGACAGTTCCTGCTCACTGCTCARAGCAGGTGTCTGTAACATCATCTGGGTGGGAAATCTGCTCCCGTGGCAGTGTGTTTAGCTGGCATCCCACTGCAGCACAGTCTTTGGGATAGGCAGGAGGCAGGGTTGCACTGGAATGGGATACAYGCATCTTCCCTGGTGCTGCATCTTCTCCCATGTCACTGTCTCTCACAGAAAGGTAAAGGTGACGTGAAGAAGAAGGGCCAACTCGACCCTTATGCCTACATCCCCCTGAACAGAGCAAAACTCAACAGAAGGTGAGGCTAACCAGGAAGGGCACAGGGGTGGGAATGGGTTTGATCTTGCTTTGTTAGGGTTTTTTGGTGGGTTTGGGAGCTCCCTGTCATCTGCTGTGCCACTCCTCATGGAGTCTGGAGCAGCATCTCTGTGCGCTAGGGGTGCCCTGCACTAACCCATCCTCCCACTCCTTGCTCCCTCCAGGAAACGGGCGAAAATGCAGGGCCAGTTCAAGGGCCTGATGAAGGGAGCCCAGCGCGGGGCCAAGGCCGGCCGCAGGAACCATCTCAAGTCCCAGCGCTCCTGAGGACACTCAGGTGCTTGACCTGCCCCTACCCAAGGACACAGCATGCTGTGAGTGGAACAGCTGGGACTTCTCTTGAAGGTGACCTCCGTTTGTTTGAGACTCCCTGGGAAGCCACTCGGATGTATTATGGACTGATGGCCCTCCTGTGCCTGGAGAAAGATGCTGGGTTGCCTGGTACAGGCATAGGTGTGTGTGTGAGAACAAGTAATATGTAAAGAATTCTCTATATTGATAAATACTCTGTTCTTATGCAGCCCAGATTCCTCCTCTCTTTCCCTTCAGAGCTGTGCATAACTGTTCTGCTTTCTGTCCATGTGCAGTAGGTCCTTCTGCCGCTTCAGGGCTGTGTCCCGCTGGGCTGCCATCCCACAGGGCTCATGCCAGCTTCAGCCTGGACCTGGAGCTAGAGCCCTCTCTTCCACATCGGGCTTGCCAGGAGCAGTGCTGTGGCACAGAGCAGTGGGAGCACATGTGCAATGGGTCTGARGTGCCACAGAACAAAGCCAGAGAGAGTGAAGTCCTTACAACCAGCTTTAACAAACTCCCTCTTGGCAGGCTCTTTTGCCCAAAACCGTGGCCAGAGAATTTGTGCCATGTGGAAAGTGTCTGCTATTTGGCCACTGAACACTTTTCCCATATCTGTTTGGACACTTTTCCCGTATCAGCCATGCCTGATGACAGAGCAGGAACAGGTTGCTGCAAATTTCTTCAAATTAGCTGGAAAACAGGTATAGCAAACATTTGTGCCTTGCCATTTGAGAGCTGAGAAGCCCTTTGCTCTGACCACTTCCTGCCAGCTAGCAAGACCTGAGCAGCACAAGTAATCCTGGACCTTTTTAGCTATCCAGCACTCTCACGTTGGCTTGAGCATCTGGTTTTGCCCAGCCACTTCTACGCTGAGCCCAAAAGATGGTGTGTTTGGCCAAAGCATGCTGAAGAGAGTAGAGCTGAGGGTAGTGGATATATTGCTCACATTGCWAAGAACATGTGCTGGTGAATGTAGCTGGCTTTCCCTTCCTCTTCCATATTAAAAAGCCTTCAGCCCTTTGTAATTTCCTTTTGTGGCAGCTTACATGCTGGAATTGCAACRCTTTTCAGTTCTCTAATAAGCTAAAGGGATTGTGCTTGTTCAGCCTCTTACTGCAGGCTTCTTTCTGGAGGCTGCAAATCCAGTTTTGTGGCTTTCTTATGTGCTTGGGCTTCTTTTCCAAGATCCATTTAAAAGCCTGGAATGGAGGAGGAGCTGTTGCCTTCATGCTTTTCCACCCAGGGCTCTCACCCAGGGACCGTTGAGCCCCAGGACTAAGTTGAGGACCTTATCCTGCCAGAAGGGAGCTCAGCTTCTCCAGCAGCACCTTGTGACCAGGAGCTACACCATCCTCCTCAGCTGCCTGCAGCCTGGCCTGATGCCCTCCCATGAGAGCAGGACAGGGGTAGACAGGCAGCAGTCACTTTCTGAGACCCCAACACCTGTAACCTGTGGCTCTAGGCACAGCAGAGCTATCTGTCTTTTTGCTTTCCCTTCTCTCCTTAGAGACAGGGCCTAGAGAAGGCTGTAGCTAATTGATTTAGGAGCTCCAGCTTACTCACTCTATTATTCTTCATTTGCATGTTGTTGCTTAAATTAGTGCATGCCTGCATGGAACAGAAGAGTTTTATTAGCACAGAGGATGGTGTTTGCCTGAGCCAGTGTCCAGAGAAGAGATTCTACTGCAACAACATCTTGTTAATCAGCTAATTAATCATGTAATGCAATGGAAACCCTCGGAGAGGAGATGTCATCCTGCCTGGGAAGGCTGGCTGCAAGTCAAGACTGCTCCCYACCAGCAGCCAGCCCTGGCAGRGAGCAGAGCTGCATCTTGGGGACCCTCAGGAGCCTGACCACAGCTCTCTGTTATGGGGCAGGGTGAGGGGTAGTGTGGATCCTGCCCCCTCCAGCTACCTGCCACAAATATTTTGCAGTTATCCATGGAAAAGCACAAGCTGGGAACCTGGAGAGATGCTTGTTTTTTGCTGCTCAAGCTGGGAGGTGGTTTGAAGGCTATTTCTTCTGGCTCTTAAATCATACGTCTTCTTCCCACAGTACCAGTGTTGAGCTACACTCACACAGGACGTTGTCACAAAGGGCTCTTAACCCTTGCAGATACCAGCTTGAGGAGAGGCTGGCAGGACTAACAGGTTGCCCCCAGTGCTGGCTGGGTGGCCCCTGGACTAGCTGGGAGAGTTGCAGATGCCCACCCTGAGTCTTAAAGCTTAAAATCAGTAAGAGAAAGAAAACATCATGGTAACCTTATCCCCAAAGCTACCTCCTTGGGTAGTGTCCACTGTGGTGTGCCCTTGATAGGGACAGATRTGCCCCATGCAGCTGTGCGCACCCAACATCCAGCTGGACCACCCCATCCTCCACGCACACTGCAGCACCTTTTGGGGTTCCCTTGTTCAGAGCTGGGATTCCTCACATGTAATGGTGCAGAAATGGAAAAATCCTCAGGGGCACATCAGTATAAGAGGAACTTTGGTGTTTAAGCTGAAATGATTGGCAGGAAGATAATTAAGTGTGGTGGTTTAAAATGCCAGGGGATCACTCCAGTTGAAATTTAGTCAATTAAAAGAAGATCAGATTAATTCCTAGTCCTCTCAGCACTCCAATCTAGAGTTTCATTGCTTCTAAGTTGTCTGCCTTTCTGTAGTTGCTACCTGAGCACTGCAGCTGCAGCAAGTATGCAGGGCCACATGGATCCTGGCTGCGGGCAAGACAGGTGCTTCCACCCACAAAAGGAGAAAAAAAAGGGAATAAAACTGTTCTTCCACTGTGCGTGTTTCTCTAATTTGTCATTGATGGAGAACAATGATTAGAAATACTCAAGCCAAGATGGGAGTTGCGATTTATGGTGCAACTTGTGCTTCTTGGAGTATTTGGCGCGGGCTCTGCCGGCTCGGGGTGCATGAGGCATAATGTGAGTTTCCTCGCAAGGCAATTGTTGCGGCACCCGCTGTGCTGCAGAGGGCCGAGGCTCGGGGTGTCGATGCGCTCAGCACCGCGGGGGCCGCGCCGCCGGCCTACAACTCCCAGCACACCGCGCGGCTGGCCGTCCCCCCACATCGCCCGGCGTGCGCGCGGATCGGCCGTTGCGCGTTCGAACCGGCCAATAGCGGCGGGGCGGTGCCCGCTACAGCCAATGGTGACGCGCAGCGCGAGTGGGGCGGGGCCGGGGGGGTGGTGCGGCGGGCCAATGGGCAGGCGGAGCGGCAGGTATGAGATGGCGGCGGGAGCACCGGCGTCCGGCGGCGGCCGCGGCAGGTAGGAGCGGGGCCCCGGGCACCCCGTCGCCCCGTCCCGAATTCGGCGGCGCGCCTTCTTCGGCCCCTTCGCCGCCGTGCTACGGGGCGGGCACCCCGCACAAGCCGGTGGACAGGCKCCGACCTGTGCGCCTCGGCCCGCCCATTGCGGCGCTGCCCGTGCGAGCCGCACCGTTGCCGTCCCCGCTGCCGCGTCACCCGCCGGGGCCCGGCACCTTAACGGAGCTGTCGCTGCAGTGTTCCGGAGGCTCCGGAGCACGGCCGAGCCGCCGCGCAGTSCCGCAGGGGTCGCGGTAGGGCCCCGTGTGCTCATGGTGCCCKTGTCCCCGCGGGCTGTGCAGCGGGGGAGCGCTCCCGCAGCATCCCGGTGCTGCATTGCGGGGAAGMGCCGCCCGCTCCTCTGCAAGGGGAAACATCCCGCTCCAGCCTCCCGCCCCGGGCAGGGGGTGTTCCCGGGGAGGGCTTATAGAGCACCGTGCCCGTCGTGCAGCTCTCGCTGCTGCGGGGGCCCCACCGGGCTGCGGCCGGGCCGGGTCGCTCCGCCTGCAGCCGCAGAGCCGGCGCCGAGCGCTTGGCAGTTGCGGCGTTTGGWAGGGTGATGGCACTATATAGACTTGCTTCGCATCCAGCCTCTCTTCTCCTTTGCTTTGTCCGCTCTACACGCGTTTTTCTGGCTTTCCAAACACACAAACGATGCCAGCTTCACGTAATTCACCTTTAGCACATATTTCTGTTTGCATCACCATTCTGTTACTGCTGCAATAAAATAGCAGGGACTGCATGAGCATCTTGCCAGAACAGTGTTGTAAGATGACTGTTAAAAGGCTGCAGTATCTCTTCTTTTTCTTCTTTTATCTTTTTTTTTTCCTGCATGTGTGGTGGAAACTGCGGGTAGCTGCAAACTGAGTATCCTTTGAATGGTAGTTCTTGTGGRTAAATAAATACCGTTAAGGGCTGTTGCCTCATAGCCAGCCTTATTCACCCTGACACCACCCTGTTCTCTGCCAAGTGGGACCCATCCCGATGGCACTTGGTGTGCTTATCTGGGGGCACTGCTGTGGTGCTCGGGTAGGGGCAAGGTATTGCTCTGGAAGGAGGGATGAAGAGATGGTGCTCAATGCAGTTTTTTTGGACAGGGAGTGCTGAAAATGCTGGTAAAGGGACAAGTATGCCCAGTGCAGCTGATACTTAAAATGCCYTTTTGGATAAAGCATTTTTAATGTGGCGTCAATCAGCCTGAATGACTAAATTTATTTTTTCCGTACTGGCAGTTGTCCTTAGGATGTGCTCTCCCGCTCTTTATATCCCACCCATCCACAAGCAATCGTGTTAATSCAAAGCCTGGAGTACAGGTTTTCCTCCAGCACTGCTTATTACCCACAGGTAGCGCTAGAAAAATCGATCTCGTGCTTTGCTGGTCTATCACTACACAGACCACAAAGATTGCTTTTGCCRTGCTTTTGCCCCTGTTTCCTCTCATCTGGAGAGTTGTGTAAGTTAGCTAGTAAAGCTTGCATGCTGTGCATGTGGTATTATAGCATGCTGATTTAAAGACTGGAATTAAAAGCTGGTTGTCTTAAACTCAGTACCAAATGTTACTGAACACGACAAAAGATGATTTGTGTGGGTCCCTCTCTTTTGTTTGTGGTCTTTCTAACCTCTGCCTGGCTCTTCATGACTGAGAATGAAGATTGCAGTCCGGCAGAGTGCTCAATTTCAAAAGAGAAACATCTGTCTGTTTAATTAATGCATTTAATGTCTCGCTCAAGCACTGCCTAAATGCTTTGYCAGGCACTCATGTTGGCCATTTGATATGGCACGGGTGCAATGAGCGGACAGGAAAAAGCRATGGGTCTGGAAGAGGCTGGAAAAAGCCATAAGGCATCTTGCTAAAATGATAGAGTGGCACTGCACAACTGGACATCAAGAGCTCACATCATAAACAGGTTATGAAAGGAGACACAGTTGCCATCTGTGTTTTACTGSAAATAGGAAAATGTTCACTGTAAACATGACTTAATGGCAAAAAATCAAAGTGACTTGCTGAGGGTCAAGCAAAAAAAAATGGTTGATTTCAGAGTTAAAGCCAAGTCTGAACACATGGCTACTTTTCTCTGAAGATAGCCTGGGAGCTGGGGAAAATCTTATTCAAACATTCCCTTTTCCACAGCCCTCATGAGAATCTTTGAGACCGAGATTTGTGTTTGACCCCCTACTCAGTCCAAGTCTTGTGAGGYACACATCTGACCCRAACTCAAGGCCGTGTTGTATTTGCAGTATTTTTGTATGTTTGCATGTAACACCCTGTCCTGTTCCCATCCAGGGTGGGATGGGCTTGGACAACAGGATCCTTGTTCTGCTACACTTGAGTTTATTGTCTGTTTCCATGAAGGGGGAGCATTGCTTCCCACATAGCCCATAGCAGTGTCTGGGTGTCCTTGCCAGCCTGGTSGTTTCCTTGTTGCTGTGTGCACATTTGCATGCCTCTGAAAATGTCAAAGAGCTTCCTTATCACTCCTTTAAAGGTGCCTGGGCAGTCAGTTCAGTGTGAAACTGAAGCGCTGAGTGCTGGACACTGCTGGGAAGTCAAATTCCGTGTCCTAAAGGTCAAAATTCCTCAGTGTGTGTTGGTTTAATAAGTGGCATGAACAGATGGGAAGCAGACCGGGCAGCATGGAAACGTTGGCTGAATCAAATGGTTGCCTTGAAGTCAAGTCCATCTTGGAAATACTGTCCCTCTGTATGTTGGGTTGGGCTCCTGGTCACAGCTGAGACCTTATATTTTCCAGTTGTTTGRAACCTTTCTGTAGGAGCTCATTTTCACTTGCCCTTTAGCTGGCGGCAGGAGCAGGGAGCCGAGGCCTTTTCCTTGCCCTGTACTCTGCTGGGTGCAGGCACAGCCCTGCTGTGCTGCTGTTGTGCAGGCTGTCACCAAAGCGGCACTGTGATCCTGGGGACTGACACCACGGGGTCCTGTGTTCCCAAATCACAAGGGTCTTGGGCAGAGAAATGGGAGGAGCTGTGGCTCCTTGGTGGGATAAATTTGGCTGATGATGTGTTTCAGAGCTTCACAGGTCTAATGTGTTCCTGGCCTCTCATCCTGGTAAAGCATTACACTTACTGTGGTGTCTGACAAGAGCATTGGGCCTTTGCTCCAAAGTGCAAAACCCCCATTCCTTGGCTCCTGGCCTTTCTCACCTCTACACTAGGTAATTGCAATTAAACTATCTAGAGTTTCCTCGTAAATTTTATTTTCAGAAACTGTAGATAGCAGGGAATGTGATAAGCTGCTTAATAATTGCCTGCCAGCTGGCTTACAAGAACTTTTARTSTGTTTGCTTKTGGCCTATAAAGCTCTAATAATTTGGAGTCCAGCCAAAACATCCTTTCTTCTTGAGCAGTAATGTGGCAGCTCTGATTTTCAGAGGCAGGAATTTCTCAGGGGAAATGGCATTAGTTTTCCTTTTTGTTTTTCTGGAGCTCATACTCAAGGTTGAAACATAGCTTTATGGTTTGGGACTTYCATATGGGCATTCCTACAGCCCTGCTTTCAAGCTGTCATGTAGCAGGAGACAAGGATGCTATGGCTCTCTGTGCCTTGGAGAGCAGGAAGCCTTTTAGGGAACATCCTCACAGGCTCTTGGGGGTTCCTGGAGCTCTCCTCATGTGCATGCCACTCTGCATTCTCTTGAGTGGCCCCTGGAGCAGTGTATAAATATATCACAGCTCCCTGGGCTCTGYAGTGAAGCAGAGTTGATCCAGACAGAGATGAACTGTCAGGCAGGATGRGAAGAGAAGCTGTATCTCACCAGTRTGGGAGAGTTGCATGAAGTGACACTATAGGTTATTGTCACGTGAATTCTGGTATCTGTGTACAATATTCCAGTTTTTGACATCCTGGCTTGCTGAGATCCCCTTCAAAAGCCCTAGGCCCCCGTACTGCTCAGTTTGGTGAGTTAATTGGGCTGCTTTGTGCATCTCTGTCTCTCTGGTACCACATGCTGTGGTGCTCTGTGGCGGGCCCAGCCTGTTTATCTGTGTGCCTCGGCAGCCCTGACCAGATGTCACCAGCTTATTTAAATGCTGGCATGCATCCAGGTGTTCCTCATCACAATTCTGGCTTGTAGGAGTTTACACATCTGGAACAAGGGATGTGGCCTCTGACATACTCAGTGGTGTCTGCAGAGGATTGCTGATGAGGGAGGATTTGATGAGCTGTCATCCTTTGCAAACACCACTGTGATACAAAACACAGATGCAAGGATGAAGCTTGTTCACTGCACCTCTGGAGCATTGTGGAATTACAGAAGAGTAGTGAATAAAACCAAGAGCTGATTCCTGGGTACCTTCGTCCTCTGTATTTACCAAGCTATGGCTACAAAACCTCACTAACACCACTGTGGGGAGCTGGCTGTGAGTCCTGACCCAGGCCTCAGTATCCTCTCAGTCCAGAAAAAGCAAATGCAGTCAAGCAAACCCCTGAGTGCTGCAGCACACTGTACTCAAACT